TAATTTTCTTGTCCAATATTTTTCTATATTATGTAAAAAACTGACACAAGCTCAAATGGAATTCGAATCTTTCCTTAAATATTTTTGGCCTTTGCACACATCTCCCTCTGCTTTCTCCTTTCTCATTTTAGGTAATTGATTGCAAAACAATATTAATTTCTGCGCTCCTGTATGTCGAGACTCGCTTGAGTAAGTACTGGCCATATATCACACATTTGAGTAGATGCCGGCGAGCGAGAGAGGCAAAACAACTACTAAATAATTGTTAATGTATTACGAATAATTTATGACACTATTTCATAAAAAGCAATAATTTTTCAATATCAAACCGAGCGGCAATCGCCGTCCGTAGCAGGGTTTCCAGGGTGATGCACTTGCACAGTTGCAGCTGAAGGATCCGCATCCTCCCTGGTGGATGCCGCTGCTTTCGTAATAAGCTTGATAAATAATAAAATAGCATCGGGAAGGCAGGACCCTGTTCGGGTGAAGGGGCCGTGGGGAGCCGGGCGGGTACTACAAAGTGAAATTTATCATTTTTCATAGCAAGCTGCAAGCTGCAAGCTGCACTTTCTTGAAACGTTTCACTCAGCATCGGAGTTGGGGACGGAAACGCCACCCGGTTACATATTTTCGGACTCGGACTCCTTAGATGTCAGCAATGCTGGTGTTGTTTTTTCGGCCGAGGCCACTGGCAAATGTTTGCGAGCAAAGATTAATTGATTCCACTTGGCTGCATCTAGAGTGTCCCTGCTGGTAGTCCTCACAGACCAGAAATCGGAGCTGGGGATCGCTTGGGGACAATGGGGAAAAGAGCGAGTTGGTTTGGGTTCTGGCTTTGGTTATGGTTATGGTTTCAATTTGACCCCCAGTTTCACCACGGTTTGTTTCGACTTATCTTAACTTCGGCTAAGAATTCCATTTTGATTTATGATCGAAGTTTTTCTACAGCTTTGGTCTTTAAATGTCTAAAGCACTACTACATTTATAATCATCGGTTTTTCAACTCTTAAATATATTTGATCTCATCTTAAGCCATTAAGCTAACAAAACCTGTAAACTCTTTTTCACATATTTTTAAAATAATTAACATTAATATTTTAATCGTTCCGTTCAATAAAGTTATTTGTATTGGATTTTTTTAAAAATTAGTTTTGGTAGTAAAGAGTATTTTAACTGTTCCTATGAAACCGAATTAATGAGCATATACATATATGGGTTTGATGGTAATCACTTTTCCGGGAATAAAAAAATTGTACTTCCATTAAAATCTTAATAGGCTCATAATTGGCAGTAATTAATATTCTGATTATAAATAAAATAGATTTGATAAGTTAACTTTGTTAGTCATTGAAAACCCCGAATTGTTTTGTTTTTTCTTGATAAGTCAGGCTTCTAATCATTTTTAATTTATTATTTTGTGCTCATTAATAGGTTCACTTTTTAGTCATCAGTCTTTAAATTTATTTAACGTTGTATTTGAAACCGTGTACACTCATTTTGTATTAGGTCAATAGGCTAAGAAATAATCTATTGTGTTTTTCCTGAAAAAAACACAATCGTTTTGGGTTTTTTAATAGGTCAACTTAATGGCATATAAATAAATGCTATATGGGGCTTTCAAATTGGTGCTATTCTGAAGGCTGTTTAATATAAATAATATATCTTTGTGGGCAAAATGATATGCTGAAATAAATTACACACTTAACTCGTAGTACATCTTGATTGATGTGTGCACACAGAGTTCAGTATGAGTTGCTAATGCTCCACATGATTAAAACTTTATAAATTTTCACCACTGCAGTTAACTGCAGCACAACAGGCGGAGAAAAGAAAACTTCGCCAGAACTTGTCACGAGTGCCAGTTACTGGGCAACTTTATGTTGAGGTTGAAGGTTTCTTTGCATTTGCCGGGAGTTGGAGGTGGCTAGAACTAGAAGTTGTGCCGGAGATGTGGCTCAGTTTAATGTTTGACAGCCCCACCACCCGCACCACTCGATTCTGTTGCGGTTTCGGCAAGGTCCCTTGCTTGTCAGCCATTTTGAAGTGACAAATATATTTAATTGCTTGCAAAAGTTTGCAGCGCAAAAGTTTGCGATAATTTTCGGTTAACTTCTATTTTTTGCGTTATTCGTGGGATGCATGTGTGAAATGGACGTTTTTATAATTGCTTGTAATTACTTTTTCTTTGAAACCCTTAATGAAATTTTCGCCACTTCGTTTTTCCACAATATTACTGCTCGTAATTTATATTCACACACATGTAACATATGTATGTATGTATATGTATGCGAATCCAGAGTCCATCTTAAAAATGCACCAGCCTGCAATATAGTTTCTGCTGAATTAACATTTCATGGAAAACGCGACTGCTTTATCTTCTTTCCATTCCCAGAAACTCAAACGAGAACAATGTCCCAGCAAAATGATTATAATTTAATTTCATTTGCTTTTTAATGTTTGCATTTGAAGTTTAACTTCAGCCGGAGGAGGTCTACATCTGTAAATACAGTCTTCCAGTTTTTTAGCTTTTCACTATACTTGCTGGAATATATATGCGTTTTTATTTGGTAGCTGAGAAAATGGAACCAACTAAATTAAATGTCAGTTTTCAAAATTGCAAAACCATTTTTTTGCACTCATTTTAGCTGGACAAAATATAATAGTTCCCTTAATAATACTGTTTTTAAAAATAAATACACGATTTATTAATATTAACATGTTAAAGTGTAGATATTTCTAACTGCTATATAGGCAAACCAAGTTCAATGTTTCTTGACAAGTTTAATTTTAAATGAGTATACAATGAAAACTAAATAGCAATAAAATATTTCCATAATATGTTTGTCAATTGCAAGTAAGCAACAATTAAATATTAAATACTCTTCTGATTTTTGCTCTTAACTCTTAAGCCTATAGAGTGTGATCAGTTTTAATCATTCAAATCATTTTGTTGAAATTAATCTGCTTTGTAAAAAGTTAATCACTTGCATTTAAATTATCCACATAAATTTTTCAGAATTATGGCGTTAACGAGCAGCCATGAAAAACCGCTCGTATAAAAATGAAATATTAAACAATTTTTAGCGACCCACTAAAAGTTATTCCATGTCTGAGCTCAGCTCAGTTGATGTTAAACAGTAAAACACGAGTTATGACTTTGTGACACATTAAGGGGGGCAAGCGCGAAAAAAAACGTCAAAACAAATGCATAAATTTCATATTAATGCATTTTTTATGCAAAATAATAATGCCATTTGAACTATTTGAACCGAGTTGGGGTCAGTCAGCGCAGTAAACCTTTATCGGGGCCAATCGAAGTGCCATTTCCAATGGCCCACTGCGGATTCCCTTTGATGTCGAGAAACGAGAGGGAAAACGAGTGGCAAACAAAAGGTTTTCCTAGCCCCGGAAATGGTTCCTGTTGGTAGGTGTTTATGGGATTACCCAGGGCCCGATGATGTCGCAGGAGCCGGCACATCACCTTTGCCATTTGCCTGTTTGTCAACACTAATCTGCTGCAGCACAAGCACACACTCCCGCAGAGGAAATCGAACTCCTGCTGCGACAACACAATCAATGTAGAAATCGACAAGGATCCGCCTCCGCCCACTCGGCATTTGAGCCGGAAATCAAAATAAACAACAGCAAATCAGTCAAACAAACAAATAAACAAGAAGCGAACTGGGGCTAAAAGCAATAGGGCCACAATGTGTTCCACATTCGACTGGCTCTGAGTGCCAATTCCCGTTTTCCCGTTCCCGTTCCCGTTCCCCTCATTTTGCCCAGTTTTTGTGCGTTACGAAATTGGTTGTATCTGGGCTGCGATTTGGGGCCAGCTTGGCTCGTAATAAGCCTCTGCCAAACTCGGACACAATTAGCCGGGTTTTGTGTGGGCCACAGAATCCATAGGGCGAAAGTGTCAGAGCCTCCCGACATCAGTTAATATTCTAGCAAATATATTACCAGATTTGTCATGCATAATGCAAGCAGAAACGAAAGACAACATTAATACCACCGGGCTGGGGACTGCGTTGGCAAACAATAAATTCATTTTACCCCTGATGAGTTGTAAGACACATTAATGTGTTGCCAATGGCATAATTAACTATAGATATTTTGTGGGCTGAACGGAATAAAAGGAAAAATAAACTTTAAAAATCTTTACTAGAATGACAGATTAAAAATAATTAAGTTAATTTATACATAAAGTTAACCAATATCTTCAATTTAAAAAAAGTTTAAAATTCCGAAGGCCCAAAACCAAAAAAGATTTAAGCAAGATAAGAAACCGATTGTAAGTTGATAATATCATATTGAAAATCTCGAGTAGTTAAGATAAATAAAACACTTTCAAATAAAATTTGTATATTTGTATTTGTATATATACGGCGATTGTAGGTCATAAATAGCATTGTATACCTTATCTCATTCTCTGGAACACCACAAACGTATAATATAATTCTTAGTAAAAAGATTATATTCATTTTTCGCACACAAAAACACACACTAATGCTGGAAGAGCTTGAGTTTCGAAGGTTAATGTTTTAATATATTTATTTGTTTGCTTACAAAAGGAAGTTAAAAAACTACAGATTTCTGAACATTTTGTAATGCTTGGATCTTTTTTTGGCAGGTATTTCTAAAACAATGTACTTTAAAATTAATGAAACACGACTGTATGCCATCGTTTCTATGGCAGCTATATGATATTGTTGTCCGATTTTGACAAAACTAAAAGCGTAATTCTGATATAATAAATAATTACTATAGTATAGTATATATATAGATATATATATCTGATAGGGATATTTTGATAAATTGGAAAACAGCAAAATAACATTTTTGTCATTTATATTTTTTTTTAATTTTTTGACATAGTCGCCCGATCCGGATCGTTCCGACATATATATTACCTGCAATAGAAAGACAACTTTTATGAAGTTAGTCAAGCAGATAGCTTTAAAACTCTTTACGCAAATAATTAACATTCTGGCTCAATATGCATTGGGGATCAAATAAATCAATTTATTATTGCTTTAAACAATATTCGAAAATATTATCAAAGAAATGAAAATATTATGGGTTAATATTTAAAAACTTCCATAGTAGGTGCTGGATTAGTTTCGGGACTTGCAATTAAATATTGATCACGTGTACCTGAAACCGAATTTTGAGGAAAAACTGTTCCACTCGGTGTATATAGGATAGGTGCAGCTGGATAGTTTACTTGGACTTCTCCTTGACCATAATTACCGCCTCCAAGTGCCACATTACCACTCGGTGCATATTGATCTCTTTTAGCTGGATAGTTTACTTGGACTCCTCCTTGACCATAATTGCCGCCTCCAGTCGCAACATTACCACCTTCCCCACCTGATCTTCCACGTCCACCAGGTGCATATTTCTGTCTTCCTCCGTGATCATACAAAACGCCTCCAAATTCAGCATTTCCACCTCTATTATCAGGTCCTTCAGGTCCACTCGGTGCATATTGATCTCTTTTAGCTGGATAGGGTACTGGGACTCCTCCTTGACCATAATTACCGGCTCCAGGTGCAACATTACCACCTTCTCCACCCGATCTTCCACGTCCACCAGTTGCATATTTCTGTCTTCCTTCTTGATCATACAAAACGCCTCCAAATTCAGCATTTCCAGCTCTATTATCAGGTGCTTCAGGTCCACTCGGTGCATATTGATCTCTTTTAGATGGATAGGGTACTGGGACTCCTCCTTGATCATAATTACCGCCTCCAGTCGCTACATTACCACCTTCTCCACCCGATCTTCCACGTCCACCAGTTGCATATTTCTGTCTTCCTTCTTGAGGATGATCATACAATTCAGCATTTCCAGCTCTATTATCAGGTCTTTCATCTGGAAACTTTACTGCAAGTCCTCCTTGATCACCACCTTCCCCAACTTGTCCTCCAAATGTACTTGGTTTAACTGCAATAGGTTTACCTCCTCCACCTGATCCTCCGAGTCCTAGACCATTAACTCTATTCATCATAATCTGCTCCTTAATCCAGCCGATCATTTTGGAAACATCAGTGTAGACACCAGGGATCGTTCCTCCGCATCCGTATCCGAAGTTGACGATCCCGGCCTGCTCGTACCTCTTGGGATCACTTTGAAGCGGACAGGCCAGTGGAGCTCCTCCGTCGCCCTCGCACGCATCCTTTCCGATCTCTCCGCCGGCGCACAGCAGGCTGTTATGAAGTCTGAAGTTTGAGGAATAAGGTACTTTCAGTTTCAGCTCGCAGCTTTGGCTGTCTACCACCTGCAGGTCGATCTTCTTCATGATATTCATATAGTAGTTGTCGCTGATGTTCATTTTACCCCAGCCACTGACGATGCATCGGTTCCAGATGAAGTTCCGGTTGGGCTGGGGCAGGCAGATGAGATTAATGTGGCGGGTTAGTTTAAGCGATTCGGCGAGGAATAGAAGGGCAACATTGTTGGCTCCATTATCCTTATTAAAATCGGGGTGGCGAACGATCTTACGGACGGCAACGTCGACATGTTTCCGCTGCTCAGTATTTGTATAAAGGTCCCATTCGCCAGCCCGCACAATAAGCTGGTTCTCGTTCAGATTTTTGGTTGCATAGGTCGATGTGAGCACCACATCCGGGGCAATGAGGGAACCGCCATGCTTATATAGGAGATCTTTGGCATCCAGGAGGGCGACCATCCATGGCAGCTCGGCCTCCTGGGACAGGTTATTCAAGTCTGCAATGGTGAAGGTCATCCCATTTGCGTTGACGTTGCCACATTCCTGATGAAAAGGTTCATCATCGTTAGGGTTTGGATTTTCTACCTGCAATTGAAACCAGATATTAAAAGGAACTTATTTCCAGATCACATTCCATGTGCATTACTATTTGTGATGTGTGACAGCAAGTTTCCGCAGTAGGACATCCTTCGTTGCCTTTTTGAAGGGTTCGAAACTCTATGACCGGCCTTCCACTTTCAGAGCCGGTCCTGCAGGATTGTCGCGGCACGCACTGTTTTTCCACGGAGCGGCCGCAAATCCTGGCCTGGACTCCATAAGTGGCAATGAGCAGGCAAAGTATGGAAAGTATTCCGTGTAGGTGGACCATTCTAGTCGCTGCTGTTCAAGAAACTGACGGCTGCGATGCGATCTGCAAACATATTTGCCGAGAGAAGTCTGGGGAAGTCAGACTTTGATAAGGCTTGTTTTGATTGCTTGGCAACAGATAACGTTAGCCCAGAGGTGAAAGGTCAATTGCCTGTTGTTAGATTATATTAAAAAATATACATTTTTGATCAGCATCACTAGACGAATTGATATAGCCACGTCCTTCTGACCGTCCGTTTCTACCGAAACTAGTCTCTCAGTTCTAAAGCTGTCTGGATAAAACATACTCAATGGTATGTTTTGTATAAGACAACAAATTTCATAGGAAATATAAATATTTTTTAAATTTCAAAGCTTGATTCTTTTAAACATATTAAACTAAATCGATATATAGACAATTTATAGTAAGTTACATTATTGTTATAGCTTGAAGTGTTATTAACTAAATTTGCCTTCTTTAAAGTCTTTTCTTAAATTGTAGGAATGAATTTAATTTAATACTGGTGTATATTTAATCACCTTTTTTCGAATTCTCTTATGATTTTTATAGTTCAGTCATTGAGACATTGCTCCGCTTAGTTCACTTACTCATCAACAATTTTTTGAGTATAAGTCCCGCATTTAATTCCGTCAAGTTCGAGCGTTTGCAACATCTCATTAATTTTAAAAATTTCCCGTAATTTCCCTTTCATTCAGCACTCAACCGCAAACTCACCATCCATTTGCGGCAGTGCAAACGCATTACAATTTTATTTTTATTCAATTTTCACGCAACGACATCAAAGGGCGGCAAGCGGAAAACAGCAGGGAATGCAGAACTTGACTTGACTTCGTGTAATACAATTTGCACCTTCCTTTCCGTCGTTTCCCCATCATGCCACCGAATGCCTTCTTTTGTAGGGCAGAATTATATTTTTACATAATTTAAGAGTACGAAGGGAGTTTCAGGCGCGAACTTGTTCCTTCATACTGGCAGGTCAGCTTGCCGTTTCTTTGCGGAGGTCTCGGTAATGTCCTCCTGCTCCTGATGATGTTATTGCGGCAGCCATTGCATTGACCACTAAAAGTTTGCCATTAAAGGCCATGAAATTGTCCTATTTTTCAGCAGTAGCCAGCCGGGGCAAAACTACGGCAAAGTGGCGGCACTTTGAATGAGGATTACTACCCCCGGTCCACCCTTTCGCCCGCATTCCATCACAGCCTGGGTCCTTTCCCTCGCTTTAAGCGTAAATTATGTTGTAAATCCGATTTTTTAGCTGGCAAAATGTCTTCATCATCAAGTGGTTTGCTCAAGGATCCCCCCTTTTTCCCGCCTTCGAACGGCACAAATGGTGTAAAAGCTGCTCTACACCTTGTGAAGGCCAAAAAGGTTGCTAAGTGGAAGTGGGTACTTTGGGGAAGTGTGCGAAAATATTGTTTATATCGGGGAGCAAAGGCAGACACCAGGTTCTCGTAATAGAACTGCTAGCCTAGAAAATACATTTAAGCAGGCTGAGTTAAGTACCAGTTAGGGTGATAAGAAATGTGCCTTGGAATTCAAGGGGAGTTTAAGCCATTTTTCTGCAAGAACTATCAATTCTTTAAACCTTAATAAATAAATTTCATTACTTTCCAAAGTGACTAATTGCTTTTCATATGCATAATGGTCTCCATAGTCCCATGAATCAAATCATATTATACCTTTCTGATGGTAAAATCGTTTATCAAGTCTTATTAAAGAAACAAAATAAAAAATGCTTACCTATATGGAACACCTCATTTATAATACGCTTCTCACTAAACACAAAATCTCAATTTAAGCAGCTCTCAACTTAACAAACATTCAGTGCAAGCTTGGTCCAATAATTAAGCAAATACTAACTTTAATTCTTAAGTTCTTTAATTTGATATGGAAAAATTAAATTAAAATTGAAACTTCCAGCGACAACCTGCATTTAAAGCTTACCTCAACTCACTTCATTTGATATTCAATTCCCAAACTTGCCATAATTCTCCAGAATATTTGCATAAACACTGAGCGAGAGATTATCAATAGCCCCAAGGCAATCGGCGAAATCCTTGCGGCCGTATTTAAACTCAAATGCGGCATAATAAGCCAGTTGGAAACCCTGGATTGGCCAGTGAATTGTTGAGATTTCTCCCGGCGAAAACGTGAAACTAAAGCCAAAGCTGGCTGGCCTTCGACGGGAAAATCGTTACCAAAAATGTCCTGCAGCGTCATTTGTAAGAGCCTTTGGCATTCTGCCCTCTAAGAAAGAGACAGGGCGTCGCCCTTAGAGGGAGACAGCCGCTGGCCAGCAGGAGACACTTAAGTCTAATGGTTTTGTCAGCCGCGCCTCCCTTATATCCTTCGCCAGGACATCGCAGCCACTCGCGGGAATGGAATCCGCTTCAATGCGAACCGCCGCTGCACGCATACAAATTGACAATTTTATTAGCACATAAATTAGTAAAAATAATCAATAAGCAATGTGCCAAAAAGCAGTCGACAGAAGGAACGCCGCCAATAAATGTGTCTCAATTCGAAGGGGAGATACTCTACTATTTAAAAAGAATAAGTTATTTAGAGGTCTTTTTAACAGAATGGTGAAGAAAAACTTTGTAAGCCTTATAAACTTAAATTAATATTTATCTCAAAGTTAAATTAAACAAGGGATTTTTTAAAATGTCATTATTTTTTCTGACTAAACTAGTAATATTATTTCTTAAAATTCTTTTTAAATAAGTAGAAGTAAAATTTGTATCACAATGTTTTTAAATCGCCTAGATATTTTTTCTAATTTTTAAAAGTGTTATATTTTAATAACGTTGGTCAGAGTACGTCATAGAAAAAACCACGTCTTGAAACAAAACTGTCCTCTTACTTCAAAAAACTTTCTTTCTTAGGGTCCACAAGGAAGTCACAATTCTCTTTCTTCCAGAAATCTAGAGAAAGGGAAGCTAATGCTCAAAATTGGAATTGGTAGCTGGCTGAAATAAATTCAATTTATTGGCTGTATTTATGCTGTGTCCCCACAACGACTGGTTTCTCGAGGGGCGAAAGTGGAATGCCTGCGATTGCAATTACCATGCCAATGGCATGGCTCAACCGATATTGAAACCAAAGCCAAACTCAAGACCCCGGGATGATGGCGATGATGCGAAGACGGGAATATTGGTCAATTAGCAGCGGGTCAGCGTCAGAGTTGTGCAACAATATAGGCAACTTGGGATGTCGGCTAATTCGCAATTCCCTGTTTTTATTTCTCCTTTTCCTTCGACTTGGCTAATTGCTTAATTCACGAGCACTTTTGCACTCCGTACTTTTCGGAGACCAGTGGGCGGCTGGGTGGGTTTTCAGGCCAGGGGGCGTGGCCTCCCTCCTTTCAGTTTTTCAACTATTTTGCGCCAAAAAAAGTTGTGCGACTGCCGCCTGCTCACAACCATGATGATGATGATAGTGATGATGCTGTTGCTGTTTCTCCCCGAGTTGTTTGTTGTTAAGCGCTAATTAACTAGATTTTCGAAGGGAAAACCGTTTGCTAATTTGAAAACGAAATAGTTTCCCAGTCCCTCCGGCGTCATTTTCAAATGAAGAGTTATGAAACATGCAGTGATGGTAGATGCGGTCATGAGAGATTTAACGCCAGTTGCGCAATTTAAAGAAACTTTTCCGCCAGACGTGGAAAAGTGCACAACTCTGCTCATTAGTAAGTGAAAACGAACAACAACCTAATAAGCATGTAAACAGAATACTTGAATCATCAGCTAATTTGAAAATGCGCTTATGAGTCTAGCAATCTTATAACATTACGGATGTAATAATACAAAATACCAAATAAATAACAAAAGTATCCCAGTATGGTCTTGAAATAAATGTAATTTTGTATACATCCTTATTATAACTTAAAATTTAAAAAACCTAAGACTTAATTGTTGAGTAAGTAATAAATAATATATCCCAAAGCACTTAAATAAATCCTGGAGTTGATTTAAAATTGAAGAGTTGTATTTTATGGATCCCAAGACCTAAGAGCTTTACCAAGTCACTAAATAAATAGGTAATAATGGTTCGAAATTGTGAGTACCCAGCTTATGCGTCGCTATAAATCGAGCTCATCAAAGTTTTAGCACTCTTTACCATCCTTAAAACGTTCTTAAAACATCGCCCCTTCGACTGCAGGTCAGTCGCCTTCATTGAATGCAAATTTTCCCGACTGGCACTTGGCCAAAAAGAATAATACAGCAGACGAAGTGGGAGTGGCCCACTTAAATGGCGGAAATGAAATACAAGGAGACGAGCAACGGAAGCGGAGGGGTCGGGTGGGGGATCAAAGATGAGGGATCGGGGGTGTATGGAATGGTGGCTCCAAGGACGGGTCGCACAATTCGCTGTCACACTTAACTGAAATTAGAACGTGATTAGATTTCATTTAAGCATTAAGCACAACTGACAGCCAGCATGACAGCGGGGAGCTTGGCGGTGGGGGATCCGGCTGGGAAATGATATTTTGAGCTGGCAAATTTATTGACAATTAGCAGGGAAGTGTGAGTTGGTTGGGTGGGGGCGGGAGGTGGACAGTCCTGGATAGCAAACATTAATTATAACGTGCATAATTAACAAATCTGGCAATCAGTGGAGTAGAGGCTTTAACGCGAAAGGGCTTTAGCAGCATCCCACACACACACACACACTCACCGGGGGAGAGGCCAATAATCGTTTGACCAGAGCCAAGGACGAATCCTGGAAATCAGGGGGCCTTGGCCATTGAGGCAGCGCTAATGAAAGCACAGCCGGGAGAAATTGGTTTACGGGCTGTTCACGCAACTAGAAGTTATTAGTTGAGCTCGGACCACCGCCCACCCACCGGTTACTTCCACTTTCCGGGCTAATTTGTGGTATTAACGACAGCAAGAGGGAGGGGATTCAAATAGCCCCTTAATTGGCAAAGCAATGCCATATCTCTATCGTTAATGCAATTGCTATAATCTGAGAACGACATCCACTGCTCAAGACTCTTGCTCAAAGTATCTTCAACACTCAAGGCGAGTGGTTTCAAGAATCAATATCAAGGAAATCAGTAAAAAATCAAAATAAAATGGACATTTAACAAAAGATAAGACAAATTGCAGTTTTATGTTAAAACATTTTTTTTTACTATTGGAAATGGAAAATATTGTCTAATATTGAAACATAAAGTTCAAAAATCGTTGAGGCCTAAGAAAAATATTTTAAATTACTCTTTAATTTTTTAAAAATACCGAGTTAATACGAAGAATTTTTTGTTGGTCGCTTTAGTGAATCGATGTTGCTTACCAAACTCCAATTCAATTATATTTTAGGTCCAATATGTATGTATTTTATCACGGAAGGGATAACTATTTTCTTTTTGTGTTAATCAAAATGCACCAAATTGTTATGAAGCTAATGCTTATATAAATATAGACACCTTTTTTCTTTTGTTTATCATAATCCACTTGAACTCCTCTGAGCAAAGTGTCCCACTAAAGAAGCCATCAAGGGCAAAAAGAGTCTAAACGTCGGTGACCTGCATCCCCAATTTTGCACCTGTCGGTGGGCGATACATCACACACTGACACACAACAACACAATGTCAAGCTAAACAAATACAAATAGATTAGTTCAAAAGTTCAGGGCGTTGTTCGAACGTTTGGATGCCAAAAGTCAAATTGTGTCAACTGTTTGGGGCGGAGAGAAAAGACTGGCAAAAAGGGCGGGAAAGATGTCAGCTCTGTTCAAAATAAGTTGGTCGATGCGACGTGTGGGTGTTTCGACAAGCTAAACAAATTGCCTAAGAGTCGGCAGATTGACGGCTGGGCCTGCAAGTCGGACCGGCTTATTGAAATGCCTTGGCTGAAGGAACTGGAAATGGGGGTCAAAGGTGGGTCACAGAAACCACATTTGAATTGCAAAGTAGGAAACTGGAAGGCCAAATGCGAGGTGTCACCTTAACGCCCTGCATCCACCGCTCTGTGCTGATTAAAGATCTCCGTTCGAGTGGAAAATGAAAATCCTGCATAGAGCTTTCAAACACCACAGGAACTATTCGCCCCCTCTCTGTAATTCTTCAATTACTTTGCATAAATACCAGGCAAATGGTAACCTAATTAGCTCACAGACACGGATACATTTCATTAAACAAATGGTCCCTGGTGTATAATTTTAATACGCAATTACTGGCATTTCAACGACACTCAATGATGCCTGATAGCAGACACCATTACCCCCCACTCACAATGCTGTTCAAGCTGACGCAATAAATTTCATCCGACGGCTTAGGTTACCTTGACTCCTGCTCAATGGCAGGGCTTTAAATTATTTGACAATTTATGCGAAAATTATGTGCGAATCGGAGACGCGTAGCCAGGGTGACTCAGGGGAAAATGGTAGAGATCTCTTTATTGCCAACAGCTTCCGCCCCGCCCGCCATTAATCAATTGCTTTCGTAGTCATGCCGCCGAATCTCAGAGCTCCGACCAGATATCCCACTCCTCACGTTGCCCCTGCTGCTCGGTCTCCTCGATTTCGTAGAAGATCTGCATGGGACAGACGAAGCTGTAGAACTGCCGCAGCACGAAGAACACGGACTCCAGCATGATGACGTTGCGATCCCGGGAAAGGAGCACAGGCTGCAGATGGGACAGACGCCCAGGTAGTGGCAGTGGAACTGGGTCAGGGCACTCGCCTGGTGGAGCGGGCACAGAGGTGGGGTGCCCAGGTAACAGAAGGCCTTGCCAAGAACTGTGGAAGACAAAAATCTTAGACAATCTTCGCCAGATAGAATTTATGAACATCTTTCCAATGAAGAAACAAATTTTCTTATGCTTGTCTTTTTCGATATTACGGGAAACCAGTTTATATATAATATATTTACCTTACCTTTCACTCAAATTACCGACTTTAGCGAAAGAAACCTTGAAAAAATGATTTCTAAGTAAAACAATCAATATGGTCGATAGATATACACAATTAATCGTAAGATTTAAATAAAATTCAAAAAGTTTTATGGCAGCTATATGATATAGTCGTCGGATTTTTATAAAACTAAAAGCGTATTTCTAAAATCGTTAAGAAAGACTATATGTACTCATATGTTAAGTTTGCGAGTTTTAAATATATTAAATATCTCTGAACCTAATTCAAATTATAAATAATAAATGAATTATAATTAATTTGCAACTAAATCATTAGTAAAATAATTGGAAAGTTTTCTGCTTACATCGTCTAATGAAAACAAAGCTTAAGACGCTCATACAGAAATTATATTGAGTATGTTTTCTTTGACACTGTTTCCCACCATAATAAAGTAGTATAATTCCTATGAATAGTCACGTTCATTACTCACCACGTGCAATTTTTCGAAGAGCTTGTTTAATTGGGTCGAGCGGCTGGTGTTTCTTTTGATACAAGAATTTCATTTTTCGAATCGAGTTTCAAAGCCGAGAGCCGAGCGGAGAAGTGACGCCTACTCCTTTGAAGTAGCACACCTCTCCCCACCGCTTCTGGATTCTAATTGGCACCACCACCGACCTGAAACCGCCAACCAGCAACCACAAGGCCTCAATTACATTTCGTGGTTTGCTTGGTGGAGCGACTTCCGCCGTGGTTTCAAATCACAGGTGTAATGTCTTGTTTAGTAATTTCTGTTAAGTCATTAAAAATATTTATCTTTAACTAATAGTTATTATTAGACAACAATTAAAGTCAATTAAAACATACATGTATTATATATATCCCTGTAAATTATTAATGAATTCAAGTGTATTTTCAATAAGAAAAACGTATTTTATTTTTAAGAATCTTAAAATATTAGCTTATTGATAAATGTCTTAATAAAGAGTCAGGAAATGTATCAGCCTAATTATTATTTTTTGTTACATTTTCATTATTCTTTCATTCAAAAAAAAGTAAAAGTGCTGCCCTTCCCCAATAATACTTCAAAATAAAATTGGCTATTTAAACATTAAAGCTTAAACACCAATGGATTTATAAAAAAACAAACCTAATTTGCACATAAAAACAGTTCTTTCCTTTAAGCATTATGATTTTTTATCAATTTATTTACGAGTTTTAATTGCTGAAACGCATTATTAATCCTCTTACAACATTATACCGCCATTCTGGTTGCACAACTCGAACTGATGGTTAAGCCCTCTTTGCCGAAGCGTTTTTTCCGACTATAATTACCCAAATGATCAGCCAGGACACGCGCAAACACACAGCAGTTATGCGTTTGAACAACTTTCAGATGCCTGAAAAAGTAGCAAGCAAAAAGTGGTGCTTTAAATATGGCATACTCTTTGGCCGAGTGCGAAATTCCCCTTGCTGCTGAACAAACACATTTAAAATGCAATCAATCGGCCGGGAAAACGACAAATGCGTGTCGCAAAATGGAAATTAATTGTGGACACATTTACTTATTTATTAATTGATTTCCCCCTTGTTTCAGCAAACGCATTAATAAACTTTTTAGTAACGAATTTCACTTTGAGCACTTCGTTAAATTCATACAAATGTTAAATTGGGTTTGACTCAGTACTTAATATAAAATTGTATTCTTAGCAAATTAAGAATATATAAGTTTATATATTTAAAAAATGGTTTTCCAACAATTTCTATACATTATTCAAACTGTTAATTATTTCCATTTTTACTTATTTTGATTGACCTACCTTGCTCAATATTTTACTATGCTTAAATATCAACTTACCAGGTTACGTTCCTTAAGTTAACTGGTGGATATCTACTTCAGGTATTACCTTGTTTTGGAAACAAACTTCGGCAAGCCGTAGTTTGCGTAGAAACGGACGGACAGACGGACATGGCTGGCCGATAACTGGACTTCCAAAGTCCATAACTTTACCAAATTTTATCCGATTTCAAAGTGGCATACCTCTAAAGACTCGTAATTTGATTCTCAAAATAATTGCATCAAAATTTTTCATTTTAGCGTTGGTGCAATTTTTGACCCATTTTCATGTCATTTATTTCCAAGTTTCCGATGTGTTGTTAAAAGGTGGCCCATAACTGGACTTCCAAAGTCCATAACTTTACCAAAGTTTATCCGATTTCAAAGTGGTATACCTCTAAAGACTCGTAATTTGATTCTCAAAAAATTTGCATCAAAATTTTTCATTTTAGCGTTGGTGCAATTTTTGACTCATTTTCATGTCATTTATTTCCAAGTTTCCGATGTGTTGTTAAAAGGTGGCCCATAACTGGACTTCCAAAGTCCATAACTTTACCAAAGTTTATCCGATTTCAAAGTGGTATACCTCTAAAGACTCGTAATTTGATTCTCAAAAAATTTGCATCAAAATTTTTCATTTTAGCGTTGGTGCAATTTTTGACCCATTTTCATGTCATTTATTTCCAAGTTTCCGATGTGTTGTTAAAAGGTGGCCCATAACTGGACTTCCAAAGTCCATAGCTTTACCAAATTTTATCCGATTTCAAAGTGGCATACCTCTAAAGACTCGTAATTCGATTCTCAAAAAATCTGCATCAAAATTTTTCATTTTAGCGTTGTTCCCATTTTTGACCCATTTTCATGTCATTTATTTCCAAGTTTCCGATGTGTTGTTAAAAGGTGGCCCATAACTGGACTTCCAAAGTCCATAACTTTACCAAATTTTATCCATTTTCAAAGTGGTATACCTCTAAAGACTCGTAATTTAATTCTCAAAAAATCTGCATCAAAATTTTTTCTTTTAGCGTTGGTGCAATTTTCGACCCATTTTCATGTCATTTATTTCCAAGTTTCCGATGTGTTGTTAAAAGGTGGCCCATAACTGGACTTCTAAAGTCCATAACATTACCAAAGTTTATCCGATTTCAAAGTGGAATACCTCTAAAGACTCGTAATTTGATTCTCAAAAAATTTGCATCAAAATTTTTCATTTTAGCGTTGGTGCAATTTTTGACCCATTTTCATGTCATTTATTTCCAAGTTTCCGATGTGTTGTTAAAAGGTGGCCCATAACTGGACTTCCAAAGTCCATAACTTTACCAAATTTTATCCGATTTCAAAGTGGCATACCTCTAAAGACTCGTAATTTGATTCTCAAAAAATCTGCATCAAAATTTTTCATTTTAGCGTTGGTGCCATTTTTGACCCATTTTCATGTCATTTATTTCCAAGTTTCCGATGTGTTGTTAAAAGGTGGCCCATAACTGGACTTCCAAAGTCCATAACTTTACCAAATTTTATCCATTTTCAAAGTGGTATACCTCTAAAGACTCGTAATTTAATTCTCAAAAAATCTGCATCAAAATTTTTTCTTTTAGCGTTGGTGCAATTTTTGACCCATTTTCATGTCATTTATTTCCAAGTTTCCGATGTGTTGTTAAAAGGTGGCCCATAACTGGACTTCTAAAGTCCATAACATTACCAAAGTTTATCCGATTTCAAAGTGGAATACCTCTAAAGACTCGTAATTTGATTCTCAAAAAATCTGCATCAAAATTTTTCATTTTAGCGTTGGTGCCATTTTTGACCCATTTTCATGTCATTTATTTCCAAGTTTCCGATGTGTTGTTAAAAGGTGGCCCATAACTGGACTTCCAAAGTCCATAACTTTACCAAATTTTATCCGATTTCAAAGTGGCATACCTCTAAAGACTCGTAATTTGATTCTCAAAAAATCTGCATCAAAATTTTTCATTTTAGCGTTGTTCCCATTTTTGACCCATTTTCATGTCATTTATTTCCAAGTTTCCGATGTGTTGTTAAAAGGTGGCCCATAACTGGACTTCCAAAGTCCATAACTTTACCAAATTTTATCCATTTTCAAAGTGGTATACCTCTAAAGACTCGTAATTTAATTCTCAAAAAATCTGCATCAAAATTTTTTCTTTTAGCGTTGGTGCAATTTTCGACCCATTTTCATGTCATTTATTTCCAAGTTTCCGATGTGTTGTTAAAAGGTGGCCCATAACTGGACTTCTAAAGTCCATAACATTACCAAAGTTTATCCGATTTCAAAGTGGAATACCTCTAAAGACTCGTAATTTGATTCTCAAAAAATTTGCATCAAAATTTTTCATTTTAGCGTTGGTGCAATTTTTGACCCATTTTCATGTCATTTATTTCCAAGTTTCCGATGTGTTGTTAAAAGGTGGCCCATAACTGGACTTCCAAAGTCCATAACTTTACCACATTTTATCCGATTTCAAAGTGGCATACCTCTAAAGACTCGTAATTTGATTCTCAAAAAATCTGCATCAAAATTTTTCATTTTAGCGTTGGTGCCATTTTTGACCCATTTTCATGTCATTTATTTCCAAGTTTCCGATGTGTTGTTAAAAGGTGGCCCATAACTGGACTTCCAAAGTCCATAACTTTACCAAATTTTATCCATTTTCAAAGTGGTATACCTCTAAAGACTCGTAATTTAATTCTCAAAAAATCTGCATCAAAATTTTTTCTTTTAGCGTTGGTGCAATTTTTGACCCATTTTCATGTCATTTATTTCCAAGTTTCGGATGTGTTGTTAAAAGGTGGCCCATAACTGGACTTCTAAAGTCCATAACATTACCAAAGTTTATCCGATTTCAAAGTGGAATACCTCTAAAGACTCGTAATTTGATTCTCAAAAAATTTGCATCAAAATTTTTCATTTTAGCGTTGGTGCAATTTTTGACCCATTTTCATGTCATTTATTTCCAAGTTTCCGATGTGTTGTTAAAAGGTGGCCCATAACTGGACTTCCAAAGTCCATAACTTTACCAAATTTTATCCGATTTCAAAGTGGCATACCTCTAAAGACTCGTAATTTGATTCTCAAAAAATCTGCATCAAAATTTTTCATTTTAGCGTTGGTGCCATTTTTGACCCATTTTCATGTCATTTATTTCCAAGTTTCCGATGTGTTGTTAAAAGGTGGCCCATAACTGGACTTCCAAAGTCCATAACTTTACCAAATTTTATCCGATTTCAAAGTGGCATACCTCTAAAGACTCGTAATTTGATTCTCAAAAAATCTGCATCAAAATTTTTCATTTTAGCGTTGGTGCAATTTTTGACCCATTTTCATGTCATTTATTTCCAAGTTTCCGATGTTTTGTTAAAAGGTGGCCCATAACTGGACTTCCAAAGTCCATAACTTTACCAAATTTTATCCGATTTCAAAGTGGCATACCTCTAAAGACTCGTAATTTGATTCTCAAAAAATTTGCATCAAAATTTTTCATTTTAACGTTGGTGCAATTTTTGACCCATTTTCATGTCATTTATTTCCAAGATTCCGATGTGTTGTTAAAAGGTGGCCCATAACTGGACTTCCAAAGTCCATAACTTAACCAAATTTTATCCGACGGACAGACGGACATGGCTAGATCGACTCTCCTGGTAATGCTGATAAAGAATATAAATACTTTATAGGGTCGGAAATGTCTCCTTCACTGCGTTGCAAACTTTTGACTGAAATTATAATACCTTCTGCAAGGGTATACAA